AGAGAGAGAGAGAGAGAGAGAGAGAGAGCGAGAGAGAGAGAAAGAGAGAGAGAAAGAGAAAGAAAGATGGCGAGAGTGAGTGAGAGAAAGATAGCAAAAGAAGGAGAGTGAAAGTTAGAAAAAAATAACGTGCGCAATGGAGAGATAGATGAAGCGAGAGAGGTGTGAGTGAGAGAGCGCGCGCGCGAGAAAGGGGGTGAGAGTGGGCGAAAGAGAAAGGAAGGCGAGGGCGAGCGAAAGATGGATAAGCGAGAGAGCGCACGCACGCGAGAGCGAGAGAGGGTGAGAGCGAAAGAGATAGTTAAAGAGAGAAAGACAAAGAGACAGAGGGCGAGAGTGAGTGAGAGAGAGAAAGAGAGACAGACAGACAGACAGAGAGAGAGAGAGAGTCCGTGTTGTCTACAGTGGATACTGAATGCGCGTGTGATGTGTAGTACATGCAAAGAAGCCGCTTGGTCACATGACGTTCTCACGTGACCGCTGAAGCTGTGAATTTGTGTGTTAACGCTGGCGTAGCATTTCTCGAGCAGCCATTATCTGACAATGTTGTCTGTAATTTTATATTCACGGTTATTTCTGTTGCGCGCATACACGGAATTTGTGGGACAAATGATTTTGTAAGTATTAGTAGTATATATATAGTAGTAGTAGTATGTAAAAGTTGTATCTACATTTTCCATTCCATTACATTAGTTTGTATTAGTATTAGGTTGGAACAGCACAATCCTGAAGTAGTAATATATTATACTAGCTATTACCCGTCCTCCAGACGGGTTTGAGTGGGGTCTGATTTGAGGATGGCGGTTTAACCATTTATCTGTCACTTTTAGTTGAGGATGTATTTACAGTAAACGAAAAAGTCATATATCAATATTTGTTGAAAAAAATTGTATCTAAATATATATAAAATCAGAAATTTTACCTTAAAATTACCTAACTTTTTTTCAAAAAAAGGGAAATGGGGTGACTTCATAGTACAATTTCACTTATTTAGATATTATTTTTGAAAATATCATTCTGGGTAGAAGCATCATTAATAAGTCAAATTCTTAAAAAAAAGCAAAAATTGAAAATGCATTGAGTAGTTTTGAAGATATATTTTCTTGAAAGTCAGTGGACGGCGGCGGGCAGGGTTACACCTCCCGTTGTCAAATATTTGATTGTGTTTTTCACGCGAAGCTCCGAAGTGATGCTCTTGTGTTACTCGACTTCTCCCGATCGCTGACCACTGCTCTTGTGTTTTGCAGCTTTGCATTCTCATAGGCGGTGCTCGCGCGGAGTCGGACGGGGAAGGAGCGAACGACTGTTCTTTTGTTACTCAACCGCGCCCGCTAGCTGACGGCTGCTCTTGTGTTTATCGGCGCTGACGGATGCTCTTGTATTGTTGTTTCAGCGGTGCTTTCTCGGAGGTGGTGCTCGCGCAAAGTCGGACCACGGGAAAGGAGCCGCAGCACGTCGCAATAAAATGCATCAACAAAAAGGCACTGAAGGGCAAAGAGGACTCCCTGGAGAACGAGATAGCCATACTGCGGAGGTGAGTGCAGAGGTCATGGGTTCAAAGGTCATGTCAGGGGGTCAGGTCAGGGTTCAAAGATTGAGTCAAAGCTCATTGGGTTGGGGATAAGGTTGTTGGGTTTGGGTAAAGGTTGTTGGGTTAGGGTAAAAGTTGTGCTGAAGGGCAAAGAAGACTCTAGAGAACGAGATAGCCATACTGCTGAGGTGAGTTCAGAGGTCGGATGTTCAAAGGTCAGGTCAAAGGTCAATGGAAAGGTAGTGTCAAAGGCTGGTTAAAAGCTCGGTTCAAGGTCAAAGGTTGGTTAAAAGGTCGGTTCAAAGTCAAATGTTGGTTAAAAGGTCGGATCAAAGGTTGTTGTGTTGGGGTAAACAGGGGTAGAAATGAACTTTTAAACGAGGGAGTCCAACGGACTCCCTGCCCTCAAAAAGAGGGAGTTCGCAGCAAAATGAGGGCGTCTGCAGTCTGAAGTTAAAAACTAAAGATACCTATTAGTATTAACAACAATGCATGTGCTTATTTTGAAGATTTAATATTAAAATTTAACTATCAAGAAATCTTGGGCACAATACAGAATCTGTTTCTTCCGCATTCTTAATTAAAAGAAATACAACGAAAATGCTACGTACAAACAGAAACAAAACAAGTATAGCAGAATTTTCAGGGAGTCCGGCAGTAAATCAGGGAGTATTTGACTCCGGACTCTCGTTAATTTCGCACCCTGGGTAAACAGCGTGGTGAAGGCGGGCAAGAAGGACTCGCTGGAGATCCGAGATGTCCTATCAGACATCCTAGATCAGATGATGAGCTATCCATCCTGTTGAGACACTCGCGAGGACACATGCAGAGTGGCATATAGCTGGCAGCGTGCGTGCGCGCGTGCGTGCGTGCGTACGTGCGT